CGGGGCTGGCAGCTTCGATGAATTTCTCATTTAAATGGTAAAGAACGAAGGGAAGCCGCTAATGCCGGTTTCAGCCTCGCGGTGACATTTTGGGGCACCTGGTTTCTGGACCGCCTCATCCCCGGGTGCATCCCGGTACCGGATGGGTCTGTTTCCATTTCCTGCCCGTGTTCCTACGGTTCTGGCCTGGGGTGGCGCATCCCCAACAGGGCAGGGACCGGCCTCCCCAGCGCGGGCTCGGGTCTGCCCGGCCCCGGGGGAACCCAGGGTGGCTGCAGGGACCTGCGCCAGCGAAAGAGCTCGGAACACAGTGTTGCTGTTTAGAATTTTCATGGCATCCCCACCTGGCACTCCCCTTTGCGCGGGCCTTATATAATAAAAGCCTAATATGCAAATTGACCGGCAGAAGACAGGTGGAACGATTGGTCACTATGACACACACTGACCACTACGGGGAAGATGCTCAACACAGGAGCTGCCCCCAGCCTGCAGGCCCCAGGCCAGCCAAGGCAGGTGCCAGCAAGGCCCCTCTTCCGTGCCCCCCCCCCATCGCCCTGTCTGTCACCCCACAGATTGGCCCTGATTGCCAGCCAGGCCTAAGGACCCTAACCGTGCATGAATTTTGTGCACCGGGCCTCTAGTTAAGTACAATTCTGCATAAAATGAATTTATGTAATTTCATGAGTTTAACAGAAACCCACTTGATTATGATGTACCTACTATGTGATGTGTTTTGTTTTGTTTTTTATCCTGGTGGAAAATGTAACCACAGATTTAAGAAAGCTTTCTGTATAATAAGTTTTAACTTAATGTTCAGATAGCCTTAGAACGGGAAACTCGTACTCTTTAAGATACCCAGATCAACTCGGAGGGGTACATTTTCCAAGGCAGACAGTGTGTTGTATCCGTCCTGGGACTCACCCTTCTTTTAAGCCTGCCTATTCTTATCCTCCTCTGACATCATGGCATCCTTTGTCTGCTCTCGTCTAGCACTTATCCTGTATTGTAATTAACTTTATCTTGGGGTGTCCAGACAATTGTGGAGAAAATACAAAGCTTACCATGGTGTTGGTAAGAGATCTGCACTTTTTAACCTCTGGGCACCCTTGATGCTTTGTGGCGTCTTTACTCAGCCCTCATTGTTGCTGTGTCTGTTCTTCCAAGTGGCTGTTTCAGGTCTTTTTTGTTCTCCTGGCTCAGGTTCATCTCTTTTCCTTTTGCTTGGAGCAGACGAATCAGCCTTCTGTTTCTCTGGAAAAAAAAAAAAAAAGTGAAGCTTGGGGGTATGAAATTTGTCATTTCCTTTTCCCTCCACTTCTCAACTTGCCTAAACTTTTCATTCAATATTAGTTCTTGTCTGAGAGGGATGTGTTCTTGTCCCCCTCTGCAAGGCTAAACTTGTCAGTTGATAGGGGTCATCAGGCTGTTGATACGCCTAAAACCGCGTTGTGTCCTGACCTCTCCAGCTTCTGGTCTGTTAGGATCTTACAGGATTTATGGAGGAGAATGGCAGAAACACCTGAGGCAGCAGGATGTGTGGCTTCTTTATTCCTGGTTGAGAACCACCATTGGGGCCTTGACCAATACCTGTCTTCAGTAGGAGGATGGGGGTGGGGGGTGGTAATGGGAGCCTAAATGAAGTATTAACTTTTAAAAAATATATATTTATTGATTTTAAGAGAGAGGAATGGAGAGGGATAGAGAGAAACATCGATGAGAGAGAAGCATCATTGATTGGCTGCCTACTGCATGCCCCCTACTGGAGATGGAGCCCACAAAGCCAGGCATGTGCCCTGACTGGGAATTGAACTGGTGACCTCTTGGTTCATGGGTTGACGCTCCACCACTGAGCCACACCAGCTGGGCTGAAGAATTAATTAAAAAATACATATAGGTCTGTCCCATTTTCCTTTCCTCCCAACCTAAACCCTGCTCCCAGTAATCTACAGATCTGACCAATGAATTATAATGTAATTTGCCTTTAGTAACCACAGCAGATATCCATCAGTATTAATAAGGTTCCCACCCATTAAAAGAATGCCTCACAAAGTTGCATTTGGAAACTTGAAACCAGAAAACTAAGTCATCCTCATTCTAGTCACCTTTAGAGACAGTCATACACTCGAGACTTCTTTCTTTCTTTTTTTTAAAAAAATATATTTTTATTGATTTCACAGAGGGAGAGAGAGATAGAAACATGGATGATGATGAGAAAATAATTGATCGGCTGCCTCCTGCATGCCCCCTACTGGAGATTGAGCCTGCAACCTGGGCATTTGGTTAACCCTTATCAACCTGTACATTTCTTTAAAAAAAAAATCTGCTAAACTCATTCAATATTTATTGAACTGTGAACTGTTGCAAACATAGCTGAAACCTGATTTTACACATTTCTTGATTGCTATAACTTATTGGCACTGACTCATATTCATTAAGAACTTAGGCATGTAACACACAATTCTCTTACCCCTTCAATTTCTGCCGATATCTTGGGCCTTTCCATGTAAAGGGCCTCACTTTTTCTTTCCCTTTCCTTCTAGTGACTACTTACACTTTACTTCAGCCATGTGCCTCAGATGTGAAGATGGTGGTATCTTCTAGAACTTACTATTTCATTTCTTATTCCCACGATGCCCATTCTTGGATAGTTTTTTTTAAAAAATATATTTTATTGATTTTTTACAGAGAGGAAGGGAGAGAGATAGAGAGTTAGAAACATCGATGAGAGAGAAACATCGATCAGCTGCCTCCTGCACATCTCCCACTGGGGATGTGCCCGCAACCAAGGTACATGCCCTTGACCGGAATCGAACCTGGGACCTTTCAGTCCGCAAGCTGACGCTCAATCCACTGAGTCATACCGGTTTTGGCCCATTCTTGGATAGTTTTATGAAGACTTCTGGTTCATTGCTTTTCCTATCTCAAGTTGATTAGTCAGTTGATCATAATCTCTTTGGGGTCATAGATTCCTTTAAGAATGCACACACAAACAGGCACATAAAAATTGATATGAAAAATTTAAAGATTTTTCAGTATTTTCAAGCACATCCATATAATTAGTAAAGATTTCTTGGATCCCTCAGTAAATCCCTTCTCTAAATAAATATTTGTTGAATTCTTCTGGGCTTTTCTTTAACTTTGTTTCATCAATTATCCTTTTATTCTTTTTTATCCTTTATTTTTATATATCCTTGCAGATTTATAAAACAACCTAACATTTGTTATCTTTTTGATTCACACACTGTGAATTTGCCAAATGAATCTTTGAAAAACTTTTTATTATGGAAAATTTCAAACATTTATGAAAAGAGAGAAAAGTATAAGGGATCTTATGTTCTCATCACCTAACTTCCTCAACTGTCAGCTCAGCAATCTTTTCATCTGTATTTCTCCTCTACTGCAACCCTACCCTCACTGGCTACATTGAAACAGTTCCTAGGTAGCTTATAATTTTATTTTTTTAAATATATTTTATTGATTTTTTTACAGAGAGGAAGGGGAGAGAGAGAGACATTGATTAGCCGCCTCCTGCACATCTCCCACCGGGGATGTGCCCGCAACCCAGATACATGCCCTTGCCCGGAATCGAACCTGGGACCCCCCAGTCCGCAGGCCGACGCTCCATCCACTGAGCCAAACCGGTTTCGGCTAGGTAGCTTATAATTTTATGTGAAATAGTTTATTATGTATGCCTAAAAGAAAGGTTTTTTTTTAAAAAATAAATGTAATCATAATACTATTTATCATACCTAAAAAATAATTAGTTATTTCTTAATGTCATCAAATACCAAATCAGTGTTCTAATTTCCCCTTTATCCTCCCCTTTGCCTTGTTTGAACCTAGAGCTAACAAGATCCACAGATTCTATTTGGTTAGTATGTCTTTTCGTCTCTCTTAATCTAGAGGTTATCTCTCATCTTTCTCTCTTCCTTTCACCCCTGGCAGTTTTTTTAAAAAAAATATATTTTATTGATTTTTCATAGAGAAGAAGGGAGAGGGATAGAGAGTTAGAAACATCAATGAGAGAGAAACATCGATCAGCTGCCTCCTGCACACCCCCTACTGGGGATGTGCCCACAACCAAGGTACATGCCCTTGACTGGAATCGAACCTGGGACCTTTTAGTCCTCAGGCCGACGCTCTATCCACTGAGCCAAACCACTTAGGGCACCCCTGGCAGTTTATTTCTTGAAGAAACTAGCTTTATTTTTATGTTTTTGCTGTCTGCATCTCTGTCATGTTATTGTGCGTGCTCATCCAGATCCCATGTTTTTTATAAACTATAGGCTGATATGATTTAGGATTAATTTTAGTTAAGAATATATCATGGCTGGTGTGTCCCTTCCATCAGGCGATGCATAATGTCCACTTGTCTTTCCTGATGTTACTTGATGATTATTTCCGAGGACCACTGTTTAATTAGGAGTTAAGAAATGGTGATAGTTGCCCAGCTGGTGTGGCTCAGTGGTTGAGCATCAACTCATGAACCAGGAAGTTACAGTTCTATTCCCAGTCAGGGCCTGTCCGGGTTGTGGGCTGGGTCCCCAGTGGGACATGCAGAAGGCAGCCAGTCAGCGACTCTTTCTCATCGTTGATATTTCTATCTCTTGCTCCCTCTTCCTTCCTCTCTGAAATTTAAAAAAAAAAATTAAGAAAATGATGATAGTCTGATTCTGTTATTCCTTTATTCCTTCTTCACTTATTTGGAATACGTCTATAAAGGGCCAAGTTTGACATTTAAAGCTGTTTTTTTTGTGATTCTCCAGAATGGCTTCCTTCGGATGGAAGAGGAAAATTGGTGAGAAGGTCTCAAAGGTCACTTCCCAGCAGTTTGAAGCTGAAGCTGCCGATGAAAAGGATGCAGTTGAGAGTGATGAAGGGAACGGGCTTCATGCCACCAAACGCAGGAAGGAAAGTCTCCTGGAAGGCTGTGCCAGGAAAAGCAAGCAGCTGAAGGATGAAGGAGCCAGCCTGGCTGAAAATAAAAGGTATGTTTTAGGGCGGTGGTCGGCAAACTCATCAGTCAACAGCCAAATATCAACAGCACAATGATTGAAATTTCTTTTGAGAGCCAAATATTTTAAACTTAAACTATATAGGTAGGTACATTCAACTTTAAATTCACGGTTTTCGTCTTCTGTTTTTCTTAGCTGCTTCTTTGTAGCCATCTCAAACAGGGCACCTAAAAAAATGTTTCATTTTATAATAATAAAGCCACCAACACAAAAGAATTACAATTCTTAAATTGATGACAAAATTACCTGTAGGATTTGCAGGTAAAGTCCCACTGTACAGGGCATAGAAGAAATTTGAGGAAGAGACGTTTGGGAAGTGAGGGACAGGTAAGTGGAAGACTTGGGACTGGGGAGATACAGGGGGAAATACTGGGAAATGGATTTTTTTTTTTTTTTCCA